CCTGGAGAAAGGGGGGGAGGGGGGGCATGGCTCCCCCCAGGCAGCCCTGTCCCCCAATCCCTGCCATGGGCCAAACCAAGCGCACTTGTGGAGCTCTCAAGCCTCACACCAACCTTGAAGCCCAGCTGCCAACCACCAGGGAGGGAGGAAGAGCAAAACCCAGCCCCTCTGCTGCTGCACAGGGTGGGGGAGCCCGGGGGGGGTGGGCAGCCAGCAGCTCCCCCCAAGAAGGGCTGGGGGAGCAAGCTGAGCCCAGAGACCCATTTCTCCCCCCACACATCATTTTAACCCCGGTCTGTCAGGAAACGACAGCACTGGGACTAACAAAACCAGAACCACCCCCCTCCCTTCACCCAGGGGATCTGGTACGAGATGCTGTGGGGGACCCGAGACTCCTCCCCTCCCCCAGGAAAGGTGAACCGTGAAGCTGCAGCTGAAAACCCCCCGAAGGGCCACAAGCCCAGGGACACCACAAGACAGATGCACCCACAGGGGTCTGGGCCTGTGCCCTGTCCCTCCCCTTCTTCTCTGTCACTGTCTGGGGACAGCCCAGCAGCAACTTTTTTTTTTTATAAAAACACCCAGTCTCAAAATACACCTCCACAGGCCCCCCCAGCCCAGCCCAGATGCACACCAGGCCACATGCTAGGCTGGGAGCACCAACGGCATGGCAAAATGCCACAGCAACAGCCCCCCCTGCCCCCGGAAGGAATCCACAGGGAATAAGAAGAAACTCCAGCTGCCACCAGTGATCCCTCCCCGGGGGTGTCAGGGACTGGGGGGACACAACCTGGGGGGGCTGGAAGCTCCCCTGGTCCAGGTGGTGCCTCTTAAGGCACCGCCAATGCTCATGGAGTGGGACCTGCAGAGGAAGAAACTTTTTATCCCCATCTTGTTGAGAAAGGCAGGGGGGAGGGATAGAGTGGGAAGACACTAGTGACGTGGGGATGACGCAGAAAGGCCAGATCCTGACAAGGGCACTCCGTGGGATCCAGGAGCTGTTTGTGACCACCACGGATGAGCAGGCAGGGAAGAGGCTGCGGGCAGGCGCTCTGCTCTGACAGTCCCACACAGGCCAGAGGTGAAGGCAGCGGCTAACTCTGCCCGGGGAGAGGGAACCAAGTACTCGGCGCAATGGGTCTGACTCAAAGGTTTCTAGCAGTCACCTCCTTCCACTGCTTTATGCTCCCTTCCTCAGCACCCAGCTCTGTGGACTCATCCTTCCGACACAATGGAAGGATCGACAGCACAGAAGAAAGTGCCTTTGACCAAAGGGGCTGGAAGGGAGCAGTGCCAGAGAGCACCAGGACAGTGTTTGTGGGAAGGGTAAATCTGGTCATTTTTCAGGGGAGGATCCTGGGAAGGAAGGAGCACATCCTTACCTAGAAACCAGGGGGGTTGAGCCTGGCAAAGAGGAGGCTGAGAGGAGACCTCATCACCCTCTACAGCTCCCTGAAAGGAGGGTGCAGAGACCTGGGGATGAGTCTCTTGGACCAAGGAACAAGAAACAGGACAAGAGGGAATGGCCTCAAGCTGCACCAGGGCAGGGTCAGACTGGCTCTTAGGAAGCATTTCTTTGCAGAAGGGGTTGTTGAGCGTTGGAATGGGCTGCCCAGGGCAGGGGGGGAGTCCCCATCCCTGGAGGGGTTGAAGAGTCAGGCTGACCCAGTGCTGAGGGATCTGGTGGAGTTGAGAACGGTCAGTGTGAGGTTCATGGTTGGACTGGATGATCTTCAAGGTCTTTTCCAACTTAGATAATTCTGAACTTCTGAGGGAAGAGAGTTGGCTGTCAATAAAAAGTCAGGACCATCAGGGAAAAGAGCATCTGTGAGCAGAGTGGAGGGTCTGGGAGGGCAGGAGGATTCCCACCACTTCCAGAAGGGTGGAAAGCAACCCACGGGCCCAACCGGAGGATGCAGGCAAGGAAGGGGCTGGGCACAAGCAGCCTGTCATGCCACGGAAGGAGCAGGCTGTCTTGGAAGAAAGCCCTGACAAATCCACACCTGCTACAGATCAACGGCATCCAAGGAGGAGCACGGCCCTGGCGCAGTCACCCAGACATACCCAGACAGCTCAGCAGCGTGCCAGACACGACAGGCAGCCCAGCGCCTGTCCAGCAGACATACGGCAACGCGGCAGCCAACAAGAGAAGGCTTTAAATTAAATATAAGGAAGGCTGAATAGCCAGAGCTGTGAACGGAGGCACCGTGTCCAGCTGGACCAAGCCCCACGCCGCATACCCCAGGAGTCGGTACAGGGGCCAACATCGTTTAGCATCCTCATTAGCGACCTGGACGACGGGACCGAGTGCAGCTGCGGACAGCACATAAACGGGGAGGAGCAGCCACCGCACCAGCCAGTTGTGCTGCTCTTCAGGAGGACCCAAACAGGCCGAGAAATGGCCCCCAGGTAAAAAAGGGTCACAGTTTTGATGCCTCACAGCAGCACAGGCTGGGGCCAACCGGCTGGAAAGTGATTTTAAAGAAAAGGGAGTGAGGGTCCTGACGGGGGCCAGCAGTGCTCCCTCGCAGCAATGGCAGCCGACAGCATCCTGAGCTGTGTGAGGAAAGAGCACCGCGATCCTTCTCGGTTACTCAGCACTGGGGAGACACACTCGAGTGCTGGGCCCCCCAAAACACAGCGTGGCCAGACTGGAGAGGGTCTAGGGCCACAGGGATGATTAGGGGGATGATAGGTGAGAAGAGGCTGACAGAGATGGAAAAGAAAAGGATTGGGATGTCTTATCTGTGTGTACAAATACCCAATGGGAGGTTGTAAAGAAGACAAGAGCCTCTTAGCAGTGCCCAGAGGCAGCAGGCACAAACCTAGAGTATTAGAAAGCCCATTTGAACTGAAGAAAAAGCTACACCCACTCCCACAAAGATAAGAAAAACCTCTTTTACTGTGAGGGTAAAGCAGCACCAGACTTAAGCCTGGAACAAGTTACCCAGAAAGCAACCTATTGCCAAGCTGTTCAAAACTTGACGTGGTACTGAGTCCGCTTTAGCTGAGCTGGGGTTGGACTGGATGATCTCCAGAGGCGCCTGCCAACCTCAACTGCTCTGTGATGCTGTAAAGGTGTCAGAAGAAAAGGAAATAAACCTCAAGTGAGAAGAGCAAGAACAACCACCGAGCTGCGAAGCAGCTTCAACTCAGGAAGAAGCTGAACTGCCTGGGGCTCTTCGTCTCAAAGGGGTGGCCAAAGGGAAGCAACCTCTACAACCACAAGAAGGTAACCGCAGAGCTGCTCTTCGTGGCACCAGATCTGGCAGTACCATGTCGGCTGACCAGACAGCAGGTTTAAAACAGAGCTTGTTGCAGGTAGCCCTGCCTGGAGCTTGTTGGCCCCAGATGCTGTAAGTGTGAAGAATGAACAGGCTCAAAGAGGGAGACACAGGGCACACTGCACCGGAGAGTCGGTCCCGCTCTGCCGCTCTGCGAGTCAGGATCTCCAAGGAAATACCACAACTTGAGTCACAGGACTGGCAAAGCTATGCATAAACAAAGGGCTTCTGAACTATGTACGTTGCAAATTATGAAATTAGGAGGAGCTTCGTGCTGGCACACTGCACTGTCAGCAGCAGGGGAGGTAAGAAGCTTTAAAGAAATAGTTATGGAACTGCTTGGTAGATCTATGACTGTAATTCAGGTGACCTCTGAAGTGGAGAAGTAAACAGGAATATGAAACCTGCATTCCTGACTCACTTTCCTCAGAAAGATCTATCCTCAAGCTAAAACTCACCTTGCAAATGGTCTTGTAGAAGCTGCACACCTTAAAACAACATGTGAAGTTTCCCCGAGAAATCCAAAGACAATTGCGAAGGCGGTGGTGAAGCCTCCAGGGCTTCTCCATTCACGGCTCTCACCACAGACCAGCCAGAGGCTGCCACCAAAGAGGCCAGGGCTCCGAAACACACACCGAAGGGAGGTTTGCCTGGCCTCACCTCCACCCACAGCAGCGAGAGAGGCACGCTGCAGAACCAACAGCTGGGGTCACAGCAAAGGGAATCAGCCTGAGCTACGGCCCTGCACAATTTCTACCCTGAGGCCCTGCGGCCGACACCGACACCGCTGCCACATCTGCGGGGCCCAGGCTGAGGCAGTTTCCCCTTCTCCCTGTCACTGCCCAGCACCCAGGTCGGGTTGGAAGGGGCTGTCGTCCACCGTCCTTGTCCCTGATTTCTGCCAAGGCTCGTGGAAGAAGTCTTGGGGTGGGGGGAGGGCAAAAAAGGAGGCATGAGGATGAGTCACTGCTTCCTCTCGCAAGCAGTGAGCGTGGAAGGATGGCTCCCACCGGGTGTTTACTGCGGCGGGGTGGATGCCTGCTCTCCAGCCCATCTTGCTGCATGGTCACGGGTGTTTTCTGCCTGGAAGGGGAGGTGGGGAAAGGAAAGCGGCAGCCCCCCTTTGCTTACCTGAACCAGACAGTAGCCCAGCAGTCGCAAGTGCCTGTCCCTCATGGCTCGGGAGCCCACCAGGATGTCAGAGTTCTGGCAGTAATGCCATTTGTCATTGACTGACAGCACCACCCTGCAGAGGACAGAATTGGGGGGAGCAGCACAGCGTCACCCCACCCCACAGAACCTACAGGCAACAGCAGTGACCATGCCCCTGGAACAGCTGGCAGATGAAAGGCAGCACCCCCCACCCTCGCCATGCCCACCCTGGGGCCTCAGGGGTGGCAGGGACAGGGGTGCGACAGCACAGGGCAGGAGGGGGCAGGGGGGTGGGGGGCAGGAGCTAAAGCCAGTGTCATCACAGAATGATCTCGGTTGCAAAAGACCCCAAAAATCATCCAGTCCAACCTCACACTGACCATTCCCAACTCCACCAGATCCCTCAGCACTGGGTCAACCCAACTCTTCAACCCCTCCAGGGATGGGGACTCCACCCCTGCCTTGGGCATGCAGGGAGAGGGGATGCAGAAGGGAGGGGGGACGCGGGCCGGCTCAGCTCGGTACCTCTGGATCTCTTCGGCTCCCTGTGGCCCATCACCAGGGCCTCGCTTTGGGCTGGGCCGGCACGGGGAGGGCGGAGGGCAGGCGTCCTCACTGGGGGGTGGGCTCCTTTCCTCGGGTTCCTCCTGGGCCTGCTCCCCTTGGAAGCAGTTGTGATCGTGCCCAGGGCAGCCAGTGGTAGCTGCTACCGCTGCCGCCTCCGCCTCCTCCTCCTCCTCCAGAATCTTGCCGATGGGGAACTGGAAGAGGGTGGCTGTGGAGGTGCCCCTGGGGGAGCAGTCAGGGGTGCCAGCCGGCTGCGCGGAGAGGCACTCGGATGGGCTGCTTAACGTGGAGCTGCCCTGGCTCTCCAGGGAAGACTCTTTGCTCAGGCTGCAGTAATAGTCCGAGGGAGGCTGGTAGCAGGGGCCCCCCGGGGCAGGGCAAAGTGTGGGCAAGAATCGCCCAGCCAGGTTGCTCTCTCGAGAGCCTGGGGGGCTGCTTGGTGTCTCTGGAGCAAAGGGGGCAAAGTCCTGCAAGTCCGAGGTGAGGGCCAGGACACTTGAGCGCAAGGAAATGGCAGCGGGGGAGGTTGTAGTGTGGGCAGAGGGAGCCTTGGAGGCCGCAGGAACACGGGAAAAGGGCAGCACAGTGCCTGAGCGGTTAATCCACAGCAGGAAGTCTGCAGAGAGAGAACAAGGATCAGTGCTGGGCCTCCAGATCCACCCCCCCTCCCCACAAACGGGCCAAATCTAGTTCTACCCTGAATAACCTCCCACTCTCAGGTCTCCCCCAGGCAGCTGCAGGGTTTCTGCTGCACCCACAGCCCACCCAAATCCCAACTGGCAGCCCCCTCTCCCCAGAGCCACAGTCCTGGCCCAAAGCAGGGCACCCAGCCAGGCTACCTGTGCAGTATCCTGGGGGCAGCACCTCGTCCTGCCGATAGCACTCTTCTCCCACCAGCTGCCGCAGGGCCTCAGCCACCAGCCCCTTGTAACTGAGGGGAAAAAAAAGAAGAGTCAGAGGATGCGCTTGGAAAGGCCCCTCAAGCACTGCCAACCCAGGTTCTCCCTCTGAATGCATCTGCGCACAGATGTGAAGGCCCCCGGGAGTGAAAATTAAGGAGAGTCTTTAGCTTTGGGCTCTGCTGTTTTGGGGCAAGGAGAGAACACAACACACTTCAGCTCATTCAGCAGCAAAGCTCCTCCTGATACTGCTATGCCACCAGCGTATTCTTCTTCACTGAAAGGGTTGTCCAGCACTAGAACAGGCTGCCCAGGGAACTGGTTGAGTCACCATCCCTGGAGGTATTTAGAAGACTTGTAAACGTGGCACTTTAGGGACATGGTTTAATGGTGGACTTGGCAGCATTGGACTTGATGATCTTAAGGGCCTTTTCCAGCCTAAATAATTATCACAGAATCACAGAATGATCTCGGTTGGAAAAAACCTTGAAGGTCATCCAGTCCAACCATTAACCTCACACTGACCGTTCTCAACTCCACCAGATCCCTCAGTGCTGGGTCAACACAACTCTTCAACCCCTCCAGGGATGGGGACTCCACCCCTGCCCTGGGCAGCCCATTCCAACGCCCAACAACCCCTTCTGCAAAGAAATGCTTCCTAAGAGCCAGTCTAACCCTACCCTGGCGCAGCTTGAGGCCATTCCCTCTTGTCCTGTTGCTTGTTCCTTGGTTCAAGACACTCATCCCCAGCTCTCCGCACCCTCCTTTCAGGGAGCTGTAGAGGGCGATGAGGTCTCCCCTCAGCCTCCTCTTCTCCAGACTAAACCCCCCAGTTCTCTCAGCCGCTCCCCATCAGACCTGTGCTCCAGACCCTGCACCAGCTCCGTTGCCGTTCTCTGGACACGCTCGAGTCATTCAATGTCCTTTTTGTAGTGAGGGGCCCAGAACTGAACCCAGTCATCAAGGTGCGGCCTCACCAGTGACAAATACAGGGGTGAGATCCCTTCCCTGTCTGATTCTGTGATTCTATATCGCTCCTCTACAAGTTTTAGACCTGGCATACAGGCCTTTACACCAGCACTGTCCTCAGCTGGGATCCTGCCGGAACAAGGTGACAGACCCTGTGTCCCAGGTGACACTTGCAAGAGACAGGCAGTGGGGGGGGCCATCAACCATGCTCCCAGCCATGCTCTCCCACTCCGGGGCAGCCCTTCCCTTCCCTTCCTGGCACATCGCCTGCCACTGACCTGTACTTTCTGTTGGCCTCGTCAGCTGTCAGGGCGTGCTCGAACATAAGGACACGGTACCGTGGGTCAAGGCGTGGGCCGCTGTAATCACGGAACTCCAGCTCCACTGCCGCGTCCAGCAACGAGAGGTAGCGGCGCACAATCAGCGCGTAGGGGCTGCCTGTAGGGAGAAGACAGCTGGCTAGACCCAGCCTGGCTAGATCTGACCTGGCTAGACCCTTCTCACCCAGCCATGCGTCCCAGGTGGGCGCTGACTGCCAGCAAGGTGGTCCTGCACTCCCAGGGGAAGTCTGTTCTGCCCAAGGCTCTCAAAATCCACCCCAGCCCTGAGTTCCAATGGCTGGGTTGGCCCTGGAAAAGGCCGGACATACTCATAACATTGGTGATGAAGGCTGGGGAGAAGACTTGGTGGAGGACGGTCTGGGGGAAATGGCTAAGCTGAAACATGGACATGAGGATGTTGACGGTTGCCAGGGGCGAGCTGCCAGCTTTCTGCTCCAGGATGGCCTCCAGCTTGGGGAAGAGCTCACTGTGGTTGGATGGGCGGTAATTCATGCGGCTGAAGGGAAAAACCAGCTTCTGGATCACCTGCAGGCAGGAGGAGAGGGAGTCAGGCCAGGCCAGGCAGCAGGATGGACAGGTCAGGCCCAGGCCTGCCCAGAGCTGGGCAGAAACAGGCTCCCACAACCCGTAAGGATCAGGGTGCATCCTGGTGGGTCCCCAGAGAGATGCCCCAGCCTGATGGCAGAGAAGGGACGTGGCTTCCCCCAGCCCCAGACATCCCCTGCAGACTGGGGAGGATGCTCACCTTGCTGTCAAGCTGCTCCCCACGCTTCAGGAGAAAGTTTGCAATGGTATCAAGCAGCCGCGGCTCACGCAGCCGGTGCCGGGCCACATATTTGGCGATGAGGGCCATGGTATAGGGGGTAAGGTTTTCTGCCTTCCTGGGGAGCCACTCTGCACAGAGCAAACCACAGCAGGGTATCCGTCAGAGATATCTGTCCGAATTGCAGCTCTCCAGAAGCCACTACAGCCTGGGCAGCACAGGCAGGTGGGAGGTAAGAAGGCCCAGGCAGCAGAGCCATCTCTCCACAAAACCCAGGCAGCTTCCAGAAACCATCTAGTTACAGGGTTTGTGAGGGGCCAGGGCAGAGTCCCATCCTGCGCACCCAGAAGGCACGGCTGGCATGTGCACACAACAGCGTGGGGCCTGCTGTAGAAACCCCACCGCAAGCAACCTGTGCTCAGTCTCCATGTAAGGTAGGCTCACAGCCCCCCAAAAAAGGGTTATAATCACAGAATCTCCTCGGTTGGGAAAGACCTTGAAGATCATCTAGTCCAACCATTAACCTAACACTGACCGTTCCCATTAGGCTGGGAAGTCAGTGACAAGGTGGCCACAACACAGAGCACCTCCTGTTTCAGCCTCACCGTTGCAGGCCCAGCAAGGCCCTAGCCGGTGCCATCACAAAAAAAAAGGGCCAAAAAAGGAGGCTCTGAGGCTGTTAAATCCCCAGATAGCACCCAGTGTGCCCCCGCACTGGGGAAGAGGCTGACACAGCAGGCAAGGCCGGGACCCTGCCTGGGCAGACCCTGCCCTCACCTGCCATACTGCGGATGAATCGCTCTTGGCGGTTCTCGTAGAAGAGCTGAGAGCTGAAGATGGCCTCCAGGGCCTTGTTGTTGGCCTCCTGGGCGCACAGAGCCAGCATCTCGTCCAAGAGGGCCAGCTCGTGCTCCCGCATGGCACTCACTTGCCCCAGCGTGTGCCTGACGAGGCGCAGGATCTTGCGGTTGTTGATCAGCTGCTGGTCGGAGGCCGGGTGTCCCTGCAGCGCCTGCGCCCGCAGCCGGTAGTAGGAGAGGAGCAGGAAGAGGGTTTGGGGGTGACGTTCCTTCTCCAGGTGCCGCTCCAAGCTGCTGAGGCAAGACTCAACCAGGGGGTGGGGGCTGGACGGGTGCAGCCTCATCACACTGCTGAAGACCATGGAAACGTCCTTCTGGTTGAAGCGGCCCAGGCGGCTCCGGGATTCGTCCTCCAGCACTCGCACCAGCGGCGATTCCCCAGGCAGGCCTGCAACAGGGAAGGGGTTAGGGACACCCGGACCCCACCTCTCACCTTCGCTAGGCACAACCCTCCTTGTAAGGCCTGAGACTACAGCTGGAGAAGGACAGATTTGCTCTGTTGGCGATCAAACCAAAAATGAGAAAGGGAAAGAGGAAAGAGGACCAGTTTGGCAAAGCCTGACCAGAACATCAGTGCATCCGCACCCTGGAAAAAGTAATTTGAAACTCTTGGATTATTCCCACCTACTTCACCAAACTGGGAGACGTTTCATTCAACTGCAAAAGCCAGGTTTATTTCTTAAGTCTCAAACTTCTTACAGATCAATTACACACCTCAAAAAGTACTTTAAAAAGTTTTAGTTGGAAAACAAAGTTAGGCATTAACACATTACCAAGATTAAAATCTGTCCATGTACAACAGGAGTTAATCCTTTCACATTTCTAACTTTCTCCCATTTTCTAGTTTAGCTTTCGTCTTTCAAACTCAGCTCCTGGGGAAAATACTTTCCTACAACTCTGGATGTATTATTCAGCCACGGAAAGACAAGAGACCAGGCACACAGCGCGGTTGCAAAAAAAGGCAAAGGCCATCCTTCACGTGTCAGGAGAGATATTTTCAGGAGATGCATGAAGCATTATGCGCTGTATGAGGCCCTGGTAGCCCACTGGTCTCCTAAGCCAGCTGACAAGATTTCAATTTTCAAAAGGGCTTTAAAGCAACTAAAGCAGCATGGGGTAAGTTGCTGCGTTTTATCATTAATCAAAAATCAGTCAGAAGGTGGAAAGTGAAGAATTGGTCTGAGCAGTTGCTTTGTTCCTTCAAAAAGGCCTCAAAAAGGCGGGTTAGCATTTTTATTAATGAGCGGGTAAGCGTGGTGAGCAGGGAAGGGCAACTGACGGAGAACAAAGTGTGGGTCAAAACCAGAGCAGGCCGGGGGGAGCTCAGCTGAGTGGAGAGGCGCCTGGCAGCCCAGAGTTCAGTGTCAACAAACACAAGACGACGTGAAACAGAGGGGGGAAGAGCAGAAACTTCTCCCCTCCTCCCTTTAGCGGGATCTAGAGTTACTGCATCAACCCACGGCCAGGACCGGGCGTCTCCGTACGCAGCTCGGCCGAGGCCTCAGCCCAGCATGCGGCTGAGGTGGAAAAAAAAACGCAAACAGAATGGCAGGAGACATGTGTGTGGGACAGAAGAGCGTGGAGCTGGCAGGAACCTCTAGGGTGGGGAGGGCAGGCACCTGCTGTCACAGGACACTGCCAGACCAGATTCCTTCCTCACAGGTGGGAGAATCCACAGGGACCTCAGGGCCCAGCAAAGGGGGAGCCCCTTGGACACAGCTTGTTGGGCAGCCCAGAGACTGCTACACAGGAACCCAAACTGGCTTGAATCTTTTCTTCTGAATATTAAATATCTGATGGCAGAGGGATTGTGCCTTGCAAAGGGTTTAGCCAAGATCTTGTGTCTCACACTTCGATGCTCAGATGTTTGCTGATTTTCAGGGACTGAAACAAAACTCAAGGAGCAGTTTATCCAACAAGGCAGTGCTGGCTGCCCTTCAGGCCAACATGCCAGGTGCTCCAGCCAGCCGAGCCCCCCTCTCCAAGCAGTCTACCTGATTTCCTTCCTGCTACCTCCTCCTTCAAAGAGCACAGCTTCATCTGCCACAAAGCCACCACTACACGTAAATCCACACACATCCAGACACCAGCTCCTGCTCTGGTACATCCTTCCTTCTCCTGTGGTAGACAGACCAGCAAACTCTCCTTTCACCTCACAAACCCAAGCAACAGCCTGTGTCCTGCTGCCCTGCCCGCCTCCCCCATCCTCTGCCAGTGACCCCATGCAAGCAGCCTGTGACACTCACCCAGCGCAGCAGCGGCATACAGGCAGTTGACGATGCTGAAATTATCAAACTTGGAGCAGCCGCTGATGATGGCTTGACAGAGCGCCTGAAACTCCGGCTGCTCCAGCATCTGGCCAGGCCCACGGCTCTCCCCGTTCACCGTGGCCTGGCCCTGCTGCTGCAAGAGCTGGCCCAGCTTGTGCAGGGCAATGGGGTAGTGGCTGGCAGACACCTTGCTGGGGTTCTGTGTCACCCACCGCAGCACTTCTCCCACGCTGCGCGAGCGCTCTATCAGACGCTTCATTGTGAAGAAGGTGTCATAACTCATCTTCTCGTGGATGAAGTTCCAGCTCTTCCTCTTGCCATGGCCTCGAGTCCTGTAGGCATCCGGGGGAAAGGTGTGCAGCAGCCCATGGCCATAGGGGTCCAAGGGGAGCAGCACAGCCCGCTGCTTAGCTTTGCCTGCACAGTAGCAGGTGGGATACATCCCGGCCCCACTCCTGTCACCAGCAGCCAGGCCCTGCAGGACTCCGGGCCGCACGCTCTCCCGGGTCAGAGTACGGAGCCATGGCAGCAGGCGCAGCATGGCGAGGGCAGGGCGGCTCGAGAGGCTTTGGAGAACCGGGAGACCCTGAGGACAA